TATGGCATCATGCCAGATCACTGCCTGTAGTTACACTATAGTTCGTATCTTCGGTGTTGAAGCTAGTGACCGATGTTTGCATGCTTGCCTCCACAGGTTCGTCTTAATTCAAACATGCAATTAATGTGCAACACATTGGCTATATGTAAGTTACATATGTTGTGATCCGACAATCTTGTTTACTCATAAGAAATTGACAAGTTTCTCATCAAACAATTGTAGCGGCAAAAAGGATTAACAAAGAATACACCCTAACCAAACTTGAGCAGGTCAACGTCGTTCAATTCTTCTGGACCTTTATCTTTCTCTGTCTTTTAGACTGACTGTCATTGCTAGTGATCGACAAATGGAAGTGGAGCTACAATCGTTCAAACCGCCTATGAGCATTTACTTAGAAACTCAAACAGATTCCTCCATCTATGTACCTACTAATTCGGAGTCCAATGTACTGCAACTCTTATGCAACTAATTCATTTAAAATGTGTTGTGGTAACGTCAATCTTCATACTTTTACCCTAACAACAAAGCCTCGGCAAACGCCAAGAAAGCCTCTCCTCTTGCCCTATAAAAGCCAGTGCCTTGTCCAGGAGGAGACAAGGCCCGAGCCCGTATTCCGTATTGACTGTCGTGAGGCAGGTTGTTGACCTAAGGCACCCGCCTGGGTGCACTATGCCGCTCCTTGCCTGATCATTCGGAGCGGAACAAGATACGCGTAACCCCCACATCATACTATACACTCTCTGTGGGTGCCACACCAACAACCTACAATAACTACCAAACCGAGCCCGAGGTCAAGAAGCACGTCGTCTCAACGCTCGACTCCTCACAACCACTTGAGTGGCGTGCTATTTAGGTCAAGGTCAAGAGACTCTTTCCTCGACGCTTCCTGCCGGGGTTGTCGCGCATCTCCCCCCTCCCCTGCAGCTCCCCCTTCGGCGCCGTCCGGTCTGGGGATGACTGGCAAGGGAGCGGCGTCGACGTGTGGCTGACGCAGACCCTCGCGGGGTGGGAAGTACCCTGGAAGCTCCTCTGGCCGTGAGAAGCTGATGCCGGGTTGCGGGCCCTCAGGCCGCCGAAACCGGAACTCTTGCGCGCCCTTCTGCTGCTGCAGAAAGCGCGCTTCTGGAAGATTGAGGTTCAGGCCCTGTCCGAATTGAGGGCCCGGTTCCAGCCCCGCTTCGAGGGGGAAAAACAGCCCCTGGAGGCGCCCGAGAGACGGCTCTGCCGCGCCCCCCCGGAAGCGGGGGCTCACCCGCTCCTCGACCTCTTCCGCGGAAAAGTCGTCGCTCGGTCGATTCCGCTTCTGGCCGGGCAGCTCGCTGCAGAGGAGAGTGAAATGCGTTGGCGAAAGCGCGACTTGCTGGCCAAAAGAGACGAGTCGACAAGCCGGAAACGTTTACTTGTTGGTAAACGTATGAAGAAGTTGGTGTTTGCGGGCCCCAAGTGTGTGCAAATGGTCCAAGATCTCGGACGGCTTGAGACAGAACCCCGAACCAGCGTACTGGCTGATCTACCTAAGGACGCTAAGACGTGATCGGATCGCAGGCATGGTGGCTGAACGGTCTAAGGCCTTGGGGTTTTAGGAACCTGACAAATCTTTTTCCTGTCAGCATGGAACAAGAGAGAAACCACGGTTTGCTGCAATTCGTAGGTCGTTGGAACTTGCTCCAACCATACCAACGAGCAATACACTGTCAGCATACACGGCACGACGAAGCTCCTCCAACGAAAACCGAACCAGAGCTAGACCGCAGGGCATTGAAAACGGAGGCAACGAGCTTCGAGGAGCTGCTTTCTTACCTGCGAGCTCCTGGGGATGCTTGCAGGATTGCGGACGCTATTCTAGGGTCCACTTGCTGGTCTTCGGACAGCACTGCGAGACCACTTCCCCCCTCCTCTTCGGACGGCTTGCCGGCTTTTGCGGACGCCGCCTGCTTCCGCAGCAGCGCAAAGTACCGGTTCTTGGCGGCGTTGTCCGTCCTGTAAACCGACCCGTTTCTAGATCAGAAAACGGTACCCGTTGACAAGGAAGGCTGCGATGAAGTCCCGTAGTCTTTTTTCGACTAAGAAAGGCTGCCAGTATCACAACAGATTTGAAACGCTAACACTACTACGACCAAAGCACCGGGGCTAAGACCGTCATGAGCAGAAGACGAACGGAGTTGCATAAACGAGGTGGCGGAGTTCTGTCACAAAAGCAGAGGTCTGATTCAAGGACTACAGATGCAGCCGAGCAGCAAGACGGGTATTCTTGCTATTCTCGATGAAGAGCTGCCATACCAAGAATAACCCCAGCAGGACACAAGGTGCCTAAGGAAACAACCACCGAGAATATTGCACCTATGTGGAGCACTACCGTTGCTTGAAGAAGGAGAGTCCCGCGGTTCAACGTCTCCTCTGGCGGCCCAAACTGGAACATCGCTCTGAAGGATGACTTGGCATGGCATGGGAGAAGGATGGCATGGCAAACGAACGCCCATACATGTCGCTGGCGCATTTCATGGAGGAACCAGGATTCGTCCAAAAATGCAGCGGCAGACGAAAGAAAGACAGGCATGCCCCTCACCTCCCCGGCACAAGCTTTGCAATGTCCGTCCAGCGGTTCCCGAAGAACGCGTGCCCCTCGATGAGCTGGTTGTCTTCTTCCGCTGTCCAGGCGCCTTTGGCTCCCATTACATTGGAACACGTTTGCCACCTGAACATGGCACCAGAAGTCAGCAAAGAAATGAATTGAGTAGACAAAAGCCACATTTGATGAAACATAAGAAGAACGCAGTGTGAAGAGCGATTGCTTCTGTCAATTTCAAAAGCGGACAGGACTCTTCTCTCTACTGCAAGAATGGCGTCTCCATGAAGTGACACTATGGCACAATCAGCTGCACTAGCTGGCGTGCTCTGCTTGCAATGCAATTACTGCTCAGCTCCAGTTACGTGCCTGACATGTCCAAGACTTATGGGGAAGAGAGGACGGAGCAAAGGGAGTGCACCCAAAACAAAAGCCTCTTGTGACACATGCTCTTATGACTTGGAAAACGAGCAGGAAGTTCAGCCCTCAAGTAGCATGTTGCTAGAGAACGACTTTGAATTGGCTTCGATCCCCCTCACAATGGTGCTAGCAGATACCAGGATATATATCAGAACAAATGAACCAAGACAAGAAGCAGGAGCATACACTTCATCTTTCTAACGGATTCAGAAGATGCCTGAGCCCGTCAAGCTTGCAGCAAAGCTCACCTTCTCCTGCATTGCTTATTTGTCTTGTTTTCAAACTTGGAAGCAACCAGAGACCATCTGCAACAGCATGCGAGGCAGATTAGGCGCATGCTACATTCATCAACTTCCGAGCGAACTTCTTCCACCACATTTAGTATCTGATGAGGTCAATGAAACACAGGAGTTGTGACGCATCAATTGACCAAAGGCAGGTGAGCAAATTCTTGTGCTTGTGCAACTCTCGCATGGAAATGACAAGCTTGTTTGTCTCCACACTTGGATAGAGTCTATTAATACTCATGTAAGTCCACATGTCGCACCAAGGATCGCTGCTTACTTGGACGTGCCAAAGCGTGCAACAAGTTCGTACAGCAACTTATCCTCCTGCAATGCGATTCGAGACTGAATGAGCACTAGCAGCCGGTGACACGAGAGCACTCTTAGCAGGAAACTTCTTACTCTGCGAAGTTGACAATTTGCATCGCTATTGGAAGCCGTTGTCTTGTAAACCTGGTCATGAGCAGGGACCATTGAATGCTATAGGCAAGAGACTTCAGTAACTCCAAACGCGCTCTTGATTCTGGTGACGCCGCTCTTCGCATTCAACAAGCAGGACATGACGACGAGAACAATAAGCGTTGAACATAGCTACGAGAACAATAAGCGTTGAACATAGCTGGCCAGTTGGGAAGCAAGTTCTGCAATCAGGGATTGAGCAGTGCTTCTGCTGCAGTTGCAACACCATGATGATGCGGCGCCATCACAAGGACGCATTCTGCGAAGAAGCGTGAGAATCCGACTCACATCTTCTGTCCAAATTGTAGTGGTCTTGCTCGGCTTCTCTGACCCAGAGTCGTTCAGGTCCGCGCCCCCTTCTTGGCCACCGTGGCCCTCCTCCGCCTTGCTTCTGCTCCGCTTCCTGCCAGGGTCACTGTCACCTTTCTTCTGGCGCTGCACGCCTGCGTTAATAAGTGACGCCGACGCCAAGCAGTCTATTGCTTTCTTCTGCTCCAGCAGCTCATCAACCGAGGTTCCTGACGCCTGATACAGAGCCTGCAAGTCGGGCGACGGCCTGTCAATTGTCCCCAGGAGGACCTCCCTCACGGCAGGAAGCTCTGCAAGGCCCCTGGCCCTACCCCCGGAGCTTGCTGATGCGAGCGGACTCTGGATTGGATCATCACTTGCTTTCGGATGAGTGTCGGAGCCGGCATCGCTACCTGATTCAGTTCTGGGTAGATCTGGCCTGCCATCTTGTTGTGGCCACCGGTCAGCCATTACGTGGAAAGTCGGGCAAGCTTGAGAGGTGTGCTAGATCCTGGTGACTGACAGTTTCTCATCTGCAACAATCAAGGAGAGCGTCGGAGCTTATCAGAGGGTTGTCTGAGCGTTCGCATCTGGTTACGGGCAGGCATACGCTGCACCCCTGCGACTGGAACGCCCGCAGAGCATGAGATGCACCACCTATACCTGGAACCCAAGTACCCCTGCTCCCCTACCAATCCTATCCTACCTCGTAAGAATGCAATGAGGAAACTATCTGGCGAAGTGAAACTATCTGGAGATATTTTTGGTGAAAGCACCTGAAGCCCTGCTTTTCAGTCGGCTGTCCCGGCCGCCCTGCCCTGACGGGGCCAGATGAGACGAGCTTCCATTGAGTTGCAAGTGCTTAGGTGGCAGCAGGCCACCATTGTCGGCGCTAGGTGTTGCGTTCTGGCACATCCGCCTACGGAGAATGCGCCCTTCCAGGTGGCTGCTCGTCGAGGAGGACAGTTGTCCCGAATTGCAATGAGCATGTTGTCAACCACGCACTTTAGAGTACCTTTCTGTACTCTGTGTACAATCTCTACTGTGTACATTGCAGTTTCGCGGATCCGGGATCCGCTTTCCGAATCGCTGACGGCCAACTGTCAGGCCAGGAAGTCGACAGAAGCTGTACGGGCGACAAGTGATGCATTTCGCACCGTGGATCTTGCGATGAGTTTACACGTGTCGATCGATGCCAACCAAACAAAGGTTCGCAGTTGCGGACGCAATCCTTGTCGGCGCCCGCCCGGTTCGTAGAAAATCTAACGTCAAGCGGAAACAGGTACGTACCTCTGTAATGTGGGTGACAGTCTGACAGATCACATATGAATTGTATCAGGGTCTTATACAGTACTCGTGGGGCTAGTCATGACTCATGGGGGTTAGAGTGGGTTTGGAAATTGGGTGTGGACTCTGGAGCTCCGAGCAAGCCAACTTGTGTTGATTAACCCGGAGATCCCTCTTGGTTTCTGTTCTATGAATTTGATATTAGATTTTAATCGCTATATTAGTTTGAAGTTTGCGGCCAACCAGCAACGTACCAGGTATGTACTACCTATTTACCTGTTTAGGTTTGTACCCTTTACGGGTTTGGCGATTGTCCACGCATGACGTGGGCGGAAGGTGACGTAGCCTGTAGGCCCTACGGTAGAGTCAACCGTACCTACCTAGTACGGTACGGTACCTGCCCAGTGCCATGAACTAGGCAAAACAGGTTAGGTACATACTTGGACCCCGGTGCCTATCGTGGATTACCTACCTAGTAGGTACCTACCTCCAGGTACCTGATTTCGAGTCTTCGGTCCTGACTAGGTACGTACCTACCTGTGTACCTGCTGGGCACAATTGCACGGTACCCACCAATTTGGGCTCCGAACCAGAGCATCGTCCTCTTTCTCGGAGATCTCCCGCGCGACAGCGAGCTTTCTTTCTCCAAGTTCGACTTCAGCCTCAGGAGGCAACCATGCAGCCTGAGCGCGCTGTGCCACTGCTAGACTACGTAAGCTTAGTGCAACTACCAGCCACTAGGTACTGCAACGTTGAGCAGATGGAGGCCGTCCGCTGCACATTTGTTCCGATTCCGACGTCGTGCAGCACCCCTGGCATGCTCTGTGGTGTTTCTGACCAGAAGTCTATTCTTTCAACCCCCAGTAACTGCGCAACGGCCTGCTGCTCAGCCAGGGGCCACTTTTGCTCTCTTTTAGATGCCACTCGTTATTCACCACCATTTCAATCAAGTAGCAAGCTGCACGCTTTTTCCATTGCTTCAAGCCACGGCCCTTACCTAGCTCGGTATTATGCGACAGTTGCTTCTTCTTTAGAAGCAGCTCCGGAGTCAAATGCCAAACGCAATCGGCATTCGCCGCGGTTGCCCTTGAAGATTAGCCGGAAGTCAGACATTGTTACAGCAAGCTGGGGTTGGTTGGGAAGGGGCCGACGGCGGATCCGGACGCAAGCGACGAAACCGGACGGGCCAGCGGACGAGGAGCGCACTCTGTCCGAGGAGCTCGATGCATTTTACGAAAGCCTTGATCTCGAGTACGAGAGTGTGTGGGATACAAAACCTGCGTGGTGAGATTGCACTCCGGTCGTCCTTGTATCACATTCTGTGGTGTCCTGGGCTTCGGCGACCATTCTTTGCCACTCAATCATTTCTTTCACACCACCTCATAAGATGAAAACAGACTCTCGTGGTTTGATTCTCAAGCCGGCAGAATGCACATTGTAGAATTTGTGGAGCAAGGCAATGAAATCGTACGCCGGGCTTGGCATTCGGCTCTGATGCTCCAGAAAGTCCTCGGATGCAAGGAGATCATGATGGCGGAGTGCCGAGTTGGTGTAAGTTTGTGCTCTGGGGCCGCTCACTTGCTTGCGACGCGGTTTTGTGAGTGGTTGGGGTTGAAAGCAACGGCGACAAGTGCGCCAAGTCATTCATCAACAATACCCAAAGTGGTGCTCAGACACGTGTTTCTGATAGAGGCCCTTGCAAATAGCAGGACATGACATGCCAGAGGAATGCTCTCAGCTTCCGCTTCGTGCAAGTGTAGTCTTCAGAGTGTCTGCCGATGTTCGGTTTTTGGCAAAGTCCTGGGTAGAAACTTGTTTCTTTGGCTGATCGGGCTCTGGCAAGCAAGAACTTCCGAGGGTGAGGGTGGGGTTTGACCTCAACTTCTTGATTTGGGGTAAGGGACGCTTGATTTTGAAGGCCGGCAGCGTTTGCATTGCTGGGACTTTGCTTGTTGCAGTCGCCTGGTCAAACAAACGCTCTGTGGATTGACTTCATTCACGGTTTCGAGGGCCTTTCCGAACGAATAAACCTTGTCTTGACATGGACTGCTAGTCAGGCTAGAAGACCCTGGATAGAGGAGACCGATCGGGGTCTACGTAAAATTCCCCTTTGTGCTGTTCGACTGACCCTCCATGCTTAAGCGGCTCGGATTCAAATCTTCAAAGTCAAATCAAGATGTAGCCAAACAACCAAGACTCCGTATAGAATCGCAGCAGATTTTGCAGGCTAGCCGCAGGATTGAGCACTAAAGACGAGGCTCTTCTTTCCTGCAAGGACGGGTTGAGTGCAGTCAAATCATACTCATCTGCAACATTTAGGTGAATGGGCAGTCGATCAGAGTCTCATTCTCTCTGCTTCATGGCCCCTTCTGGCCAATTGGGTTGTCAAATGGACATTGGTCTCGTTCTGCGCTCTCCAAACGTTGACGGGAGCATGACAGCTGCTGCACTAGAAAAAACATGCTCGAAAGGGGGGGCGGTCCGCATGCAAACGCCGTGAAAACCTGACAACGCCCTTGCCCCCCAGGTGTTCTGGAGTTCACAATTTCCCGGCCAGATATTCAGGGTGGACGATTCTTCTGCCGGGCGTTGTGTCAACACTGACACAACATCTGCTCTACAATCTTCAGAAGAGAGAAGGAGCTACGACCTTTTCAGACCTTCTCATGAAGACCCACGCACGTTACCGCTTCTTCAGCGAGATCGTCTTTTTCTTCCCCGGCCCCCTGCCGCTGCGGCCTTCTTTGGATACTTTGGAAGCTTTTTGAAGAGGTAGAAGGGGGGCGAAAACAAGAGGGGAGGGAGAACAAAAGAACAAACGCAAAGAAACGATTAAGCAGCCGTCAACTGCTCAAATCTCAGTTGCTGCTTCGACCCCTGCGCAGGTGTCAACCGTGGACGATCCTTCTGACGGGCACAGTCGGGATTACGGGGTCGTGGCAGCTGTTGCATGTCCCGGTGCTGACGGGAGTCGTGACGGGCCTCGTGGGCCTCTGGTGGTTCGTGTTTCTACTCGCGTATCCCCAGGTAAGGCCACCGGCAATTCGGCAGACATTGAATGGTGGTTTTGTGTTCCGTTTCACACCAGGTGTCTCCTGGCAGTTTAGCAAAACATGGACGGCGGTGCGTATGTCTCCTCGCTCAACCCCAGGTAAGACGTCCTTGCCAGCGGTTTTGCAAAAGTTGAGATTGGTTTGTGGTTCTGCTCGCGTTTGGAGGCAAGACTTACAAACTCACGGTTCTGCGAAAAATGGAATGGTGGTTGAAGTTTCTGATCGCCTATCCTCAGGTAAGACGTTTCTCACCCGCTATTCCGCCAGAGGTGCTTTGTATTTCTGCTCGCGTTTCCCGGGGTGAGACGTTTCTCACCAGCTGTTTTGCGAAACCTGATCGGTGATGCGCCTTTAACGTCCTGAACCGCTGATTTTCGGAGAATGAACCGTTTACAAGGGTCTTGGGTGCATCTCCGGGAGGGTGCGAGGGTAGAAATGAAGCTACTGAAGTGGTTGAACCAGCCTGCTTTCCTGTGTTTAAAGGATTTTCACGTGCTTGTTCCGAGGTCAAGCATTTATTTGTCAATTTGTCGCACAGATCTCACGACGCATCTCGAAGCCGGTATGAGAAAGCCAGAGCGTTCAGATACGTCAGAGCTCTGGTCCGACCGAGCTCCACAAAGTATACTTAGGGGTCGCAAACGCTTCGACTTTCGCCTCGCAAGAAAGCGTACGTTTCTTGGTATCTCTGGGTGCCAAAGGATTTAAACCTTTGAAAGTTTACAGACTAGGAGTTGTCTGCCAGATCCGGTTTCTTTAGAATGCGTTTTTGGCCTTTTTTGATGGCGCATGCCCATCTTAGCTCTTTGATCGTTTCTGGCACAAACAGGACGTTTTGCAGATCCCATGCGTTGTTTGGAATCTTTCGTCGTCGCTATCTCACCGTTGCCGTCAAAATTTCATGGCGTGCTTCTGACGGCAGCTAAATATCACCGCCAGCAAACTGACCAATGCGCTTTTCGTATCTAGTCGTCTTTCTCCGGAGCAATGCGGGAAAGAAATAGGGTTTGCCTAGCAAACGGCTTTTTGTAGCTTGTGATCCAGTCAAGGAGGGTTTGAGAATACGGTGTGTGTCCGTTGCTTTTCTGATCGAGAAATAGAAGCATCTGAGCAGTCCCCCTTTTGCGTCTTCCCGCTGCTCGAACCTCAAACGGTGAAGCCGACTTTCTGTCATCGCTTACCGTACAAGAAGCGCTGACGCATTTCTGACGATTACCTGCAGTCGTACAAGGATATGATCGCGCAGCGGCGGGAGTACCAGGAACGGCTAGCTGCCGAGAATGGGCGGCCGCTAGGGCGGGACCAAACGTGATTGGAAAATGCGAAGCAACTCTAGACTCCATGAAGTCTTAATTTCTTTTTTTTACCCACCCCCCAAATTACAAAGCTTATAATTTGCTGTAAGTTGAAACACGGGCGTGTAGAGGTTTGCCCCGAAGAGGGCAGCCGTAAAAGGTTGAAGGGAGAGCTGCGAAGCGGCTGTCCCCTACGATTGTACATGATTGAAGTCCGTGCGCTCAAGTGGGAACCGGACGGAACATTTCCGAGTTCGAGTTGGACGGCAGGGAGTCACGAAAGTAAACGGATGCTTATCGTTTAGAAAGCACTCATTCATCATCAGCTCAATCCTGCGTGCTTGACAGATCGGGGACTCGACTCCATCGTGATAGCGCTCCATGACTGTCCAGCTAAAAGTGTCTGGTCAGTAGATCGCGAGCATCATTTCCAGCGGCTTCTGCTAGCTCAATCCGATGTTGTGCAACATGATGCTTGTCGGATGCTTAATAGCATGGCGGCGGCCGGCCCAGGGGGCCGACTTATAGAAGCTTGATTCCGCCGTGGTCTAGATTGAAGCCACTGCTCGTCTCACGGCGCGCGGCGATAAGCACGTGCATGGCAGTCGAACCGGACGACCGCGGGCCAACAATGGTGCATGTTTGATAACTATACATGGTCTGAGCTGGGGCAACCGTGTGTGCATGATATACGGGTACTCATGACGCCCATGACATCCATTCACGCTAGCGTGAATGGATGTCACTATCAAGCGCATGCTTGCATGAGCATATTGTATACGGTGACATAGCATTATAATCATATGCAGAAATTATCTGATCAGGGGAAAGCTAGTCCTATAATGATACTGCATGATATGTACCAAAGGCTTATCAAATTAGGAGCATCGTGCTGAGGGCCGGGGCGCCTGTTCTCGTAGATCCGACAAACAAAGCAGCCGCGGCTTATATGCTTTCATTGCCAGGCCGCAATCCGCCGCGCCTCTATGGTATATGGCGTTTTTTTACCATTACAGTGACCTCTCTAAGTTTAGGCAGATCGGTCGAATGCACGTACCGTTCAGCGACCGACAGATGCAAAGAAGCCGTCACGTTTGCACCTGGTATGTGGTTGCCGCCGCTCTTCTCCTCTAGAATCTTGTGCGAACCACTTGATATCAGCCTAAAATCCGGTCCTTCTGAGGACCTCAACGCGACACGTGTCAGCCAAACTTTGAGTTCCGGGATGAAAGCACAAGTTGGTGTCAATCCGTCAGCATCCTTTCATCCTTTCACAAATTGGTGCGCCTTTGCCGCTTCAAACTTCTGAACGAGCTCGGGCGCACGATGGCCTTACGACTTCTCAGCGAGCTGGGACGGGGCAGTTATACCGTCTAGAACTAACTTGCAATGATTGCCTGCGCGCGCTGTGATCGGGGCATTATTGCAATAGTACTGCGGGCGGGCTTAACATTGGGGTGGGAACCGGCGCATGCTTGTTTCAACACGACTGACAGGATTATAGGAATAGGTGCTAAAGCGTCCGTAACGCTAGGTCGACGTGCAGGTATAAGGGTTTCACGCTCAGCAACTTGAGCTTCTTCCGGCTGAGGTCCGTCGGCTTGCTGTATCTGCACGTAAGGAACGGAAGACGTCTAAGAAGCGGTTCAAAAATCGGCAGATTACGGTCCCCAACTAACGTCCAGCGCACCAAAGCTATTCGCTGTAACCGATAGCTGGCCGGTAAAGACACCGCCGAGGGAAGAAGGCCGATCATCCCGAGCATGACTCCAACACATCCCCCACTCAAGCCCATAAAATGAACCGCGACGAAATGAAGGTTTCCCAGACCGGAAGCCAAGCCACCTTTGGCACCGTCTGGGTGCGAATTTCAAAAGCTTTGCAGCCAATCGGACAACTGACATTCAGCTTTAAAGTCGAAAGGGTTGGGCGTCTTCGCACAAGACCGCAAAACTCGAGGCTTTTTGCGGTTTCCAGTCCAACCCGGAAATAGGGCATCGCTTGCGCTACTTATGATCACAGCTGTATGCACCTTTCAAGATCGTAGCTCAAGACGCGCGAACACGCATAACGAATCAAACCCAAACGATTGTGAATAAGCTCGTCAAAGGTACACCCCGTTCAAGGTTTCAGCACCCCGATGCCCATCTCCGCCGCGTGCTGGACCCACACGTGTCAAAAAGCAGAATGCCGTTCGCAACGTGTGAATGCGCCCCACTAGAGCGGTGCCACCGTTGACATCTCCGGCACGGGGGGCCCGATTCAGAGACGTTTCGCCGTTGTCAAAACGAGACATCAGATTCAAATGCCCCCTCAATAGCGCACTGATTCCTCCCAGAAACGGCGGAGTCCTTTCAGCCAGACTCGGACAGCACGTGGCACTGACGCCAGCGCCGCATTCTGCAGCGTGTAAATGCGCCCCCCGGGCGCGTTCACACTCACATCTCCAGCACGGCGGGGCCCGGTTTCACCTCGTCCATCTCGAGGAGGCACCACGCCTTGGTGCTCGTCTTTTTCTTCTTGGGCTTGAAGTGCTTCATCTCGATGAAGATGGCGGCGCCTGCGCGGCCGCGTTGCAAGGGTTTTAGGGTTTTGGAGTTCGAAATTGGGGTTTTAGACTTTTTATAAGACCTGTGGCTAAAAGGTTTCAACAGTCGAGGCGCTGCTTGAAATATTTGTCTGTCCTTCCTCCTTGCCCCGCGCGCTCGGGTCTCAAACTTGGGCTCAAAGGTTTCGACAATCATCAATTTCTCAATTTGTGTAAGTTGTTTGCTCATACATTCGCCCCGCGCGCGCGCCTGCTTACGATCTCATATTTTCGGAGTTCGACTTCATACGTGATTTATTTTGATTTCTGTCGAGCTCACTCAGGAACAGATTTTTCGGCAGGTCGCAGCCGTCCTTAGGCTCCGTTGTCCGTGTGAAGGATTGCTCTCGAACTTTGACGGGACCTCGTATCAAATTGGTCAAACTCGATGATGGTCTCAGCGAACCGTGATACGTACCGATCAAAACGCCTCACACGAAGCTCACTCTCCCGTCACATCTGCAAAACGCAGCCGTCCATCCGTTTGTTTGCTCGTGTCTGCTTCACCTGGCCGTTGATTTCCTTCCTACCGGCTGAGTCGTAAGGAATTTGCAGCGCTGATGTCAACAGAACGTCACTAACCCAGCAGAATTCTGACGTCATCGAAGTCGTTGGGGACCCCACCTTGCGAGACGCGGTTGACGGGAGACTGGATGTGCACGGTAGCGCCCGACACGACGTAGTTGGGCTTGGTGTTATTTGTGACCGGGGTGTCCTGTGCCGCCTCCAATAGCCGGCCGTCCCGATCTGAGAAAAGGAACCGGGGGAAGCAACCGGTTGGTTCAAATTGGTATAGGATTATGGGCTCTGTTGAATAAGATACGGGCGCTGGGGACGGATGGGGTGGGTTTGGGGCTTCAGGGTTGGTACGATGACGGAGCGCGGGTGATTGTGAACAGTAGGAGATTTTATTTCTTCACGACCCGAACAAACATCAAACGTGAAGTTCGATTCGACACAGGAACACCAGTATGTTTGCTTCCGTGCGCTTTGTTACACGTCCACAAAGTGCTGCATTCGAAGAGCTCACCTGTGAGGCTGACCGTGAAGAACGGGTCGATGAACAGCGTCGCGTCTTTGAACCCCATCTTCTCAATTGTGATGGACAGGGACTGGTCCCCCGGGGACTCGAGCATCGCCCGGGGCAGGTGCGATCCGGTGTCCGCTTCGTTGGGCATCGTTCCGCTGGAGGCAACCCTGTGTTCAAGGAAAGGTGATAATGAAGGGAAGACGAGCCGCGAATCGACAATAGTCTTTGTGTGAATTGGCACAGATTGCAACCTGGTAGTTAACGTAGCCGAGCCTGCTCAAGAACGATAATCGTGTGATTCCAGGCCCCAGAACGGCGCTAAAGAAGTTCACGAACGTTGAGGATGAGAAGACGAAGTTGAAGCTATGCTTATCGAAGGAAGGGGTAAGGCTGAAAAGAGAAGAAGAAGAAGAAGAAGAAGAAAATAAAGAAGCCGAAACGACGCTGTACGATTCTGAGATGTGGGAGCTGGTAAGCGTGGCAGCGCAATTTACGCAGTACGAGCTGCAAAACGTGAAGGCTGCCCTATTATGCAGAAGCCAAGGATAATCGATGCGAAGCTCAAACCTCGAGACCGACAACGCCCCAATGAAGAAAGGTCAAGGAGAACTACGCTGAGACAGATAAGACACAATACAAATGCTCGGAATCCTGTCAGCCAGCCGTCAGAGGGGGACCTCATCTGGATACCGAGTGAGTTGTAAAGCGCTTACCGGTGCAGCGACCGCCGGATCTCCCTTGTGGGCACTGGAAACGGCAGCGTGAGGTCATCGGACACCAGCAGCCTCGAGAACGATGACGTCAGCTGCTTCATGTTCTCTAGAGAGAGCCCCCCCCGCCCGTCCCCCACCAGCGTCTCCGCGCGGATCGTCAGGCATCCGGCCACGTGGGTCAGAAACTCGCGCTCTTTGGTGGAGAGGCGCATCGTGCTGGCAACGTCCTCCGACACGAGCCATGCGGCCAATCTGAGAAAAGAAGAATGCGCTGCTGTTCGTGGAAGTTTGCAAGCGGAGCTGTGATTGGGCGTGCCAGAACAGGGGTCCGGCGGCCAAAGACTTATGACATGACAATTGTTTGCAAAGCCGGTCGTCAGAACGGCTGCGGTGCTCCGCTCTAGAGGGAGTGGCTGCTTTGCATTCCACAGATGGAGACTTGCAAATCTGCTTTCTTGGTGCTGCTCTAGATCTGAATGCAACCTACCGAAAGCAGTGAGTTCCATCCTGTCCAGGATCTCAATAAGGATGAGGGATGACTGGTATGGTTCAATTTATATTTCACCAGGGCGTCGGATCTGTGATGGTGATTCGTTCAGAGGTTGGTATCCTTATGTCGACACTTAAGAGTCAGGATCCTCTTGATGCATATTGAATGGTTGTGCCTCATCCCTTCTCCTTGTGAGGCAGGTTTCCTTGTGTGCATGACCAAAAAGCTGACGCTTTGCACCCTTCTTGGAAACATCACCCCTGAACTGGTAAGCAGATTTGTGCCAGTCAATTCCTCAGAGCCCTGCACTTTTCTTGTTGAGGATAACCTGCTGCAATTGTTGCAGCTTGTAAACACGCTAAGGCGTTGCAGTATGATCCTGACACGCAATGATTCAGAGTGCACACTGCAATGGAGTGGATGGTTCCATGAAAGACTATCCTACCGAGCAAAGATTAGATCTTCTGAGTTGCTTGTCTGTACCTTCTGTACAGCTCGCAGGCTTCCTCTACCTGGCCCCATGTGTCTGAATCTAAGCACTTCTCATACTCCTGCACGCACGGAAGAGGGTATTCAGAGTTGAATAATCCTGTAGATTCTAGGGATCTAGAGAGCGGTCGATCTTGATCTGATACAATGAACGGATGCAACAGGCCAGCTGAGACCCAGTTGCCAAAGGTCTGACCACGTAGCGCACCCGGTGCAATGATTGGAGCTGAATTGGACCTGCCATTCTGGAAAGCTGCCAAGGGCATCAGCTCTGCTAGCTGTGTTTAACCCTTTGGTTTTAGATTTTTAGCCCGGCCGACTGTGAGCAATCCTCACCTTTCGCCACTTTCCTTGGAGCTCCTGACGGTTTGCCATTGTAAGACCCTAACGGGTGCTCTTGGTGCGCCGCAGATGGCTGGAAATTAGCAATCATTTACATGGATGTGACATGATCGGATCCTTGACTTGAAAACTTATTCAGCTTGCCTATGTCCAAGTTTTTGGATAATGCATTGGACAGTCAGGTCAGGTGCTAAAGTGAGCTGAGCTAATTTCAGCTCACTCTTAAGGTTTGTAAAGTCGTAAACGTATGTGGAGCGCAGTACGTGTTTGGTGAGACCATTCTTCGTCATATGAAGCACATGACAATGCAGTAAAGTTCCACTGGTGAAGCAGCTCTATCAACCAGTAAAAACTTAGGCCGCTAGCATTGGACAGCCAGGTGACTGCATACGATATCGCTTTTGCCAGCTGCTCCGCGCAGCTGCAGATCCGTTACTGAGCTCAGCAACAAAGCAATCCGCCTCGGTGGCCTGGCCCTCACTGTCAGGAAGCTAACGTTTGTACGGCGAAGAAGCGAAGCCGTACAAACTCGCCTTGGGCGACCTGAAGCGTTGATAAATTTGCTCGCGCACAATCTGCTCTGGCCCCTGGGTACTCAGCCATACCAGAATTGCACCTACCAGTCTATACAGTCTACCAAAATATGTAAAAATATGTACTTAAACATACCGGTACCTTGTCTGATTACCTAGTACCGTAGAGCGGCGGCAGCACGTAAACTTCGTGTTGCTCAGTATCTGTCAGAGATCGCGCAACGCCCTTGCATGCAAATCTACCCGCCATAAGTAGAGCCATTAGCCTGTGCGCCACTGCCAGCTGAGGCTGGAGGGGGTCGGATGCGGTATGCAAGCATGCTACAAGCAGCAATCACTGTCCTTGACTTTCTACATGTGTCCTTACTTGATAAAAGGACTCGGTCAATGTCAAGAGAACAATCTGAGCGCGATTCACTAATTACTAGAGGTGCGCTTTGTCAGGAGACTCTGGTCAATATTGTGATGCGGCCAGAATGATCAAGCTGCTGTGATGCCTTGTATCTGATTGAGACGAGGAGTAGACTTGGTTGCAGCAAGCGGATTCATGGTCCGATATATGTGGACTAGGTAGGTGAATTGCGGGCCGTTCCTAAAGTATGTTGTGAAGATGGTATTGACGAAGGGACATAAGATAGAGATGTTCTCAATAAGGGCTTTATAATGATACCTCTTATGTCTCTTCAAGCCATTGGTGCGGCAATTTCAAACGTCGACTAGTCTGTAAAGTACCGCTCATTTGAAAGATAGCCTTGTTTCTACTGGCATCGCGAAGTGCGGGTGAGCAGAGTGCAGTGGACTTGGAAGCGACCCGTAAGCTTTATTTTTGACAATGAGGAGACATGCCGCCGAAGAGGAAAGGTGAAGGTTCCAAAAAGGGAGGCAAGAAGGGGAAGAAACAGAGCAAGCCAACGTTCTACACTGGCGAGGAGCACTGCCTTCCATTTGGGTTTCGGGTATGCAAAGACAATCAACAGGATTGGAAAGGCTGCGCTGGACATTACGAGAAAGAGACAGCATATTCTGTCAACTTGAAGTTGGCACGTGACTGTTTGGAATCAAACAATATTGTAATATAGGCATTGCAGTATGTTTGCTACCAAAAGCGTCAGTTACGAATGCCAATAGTGTTCTGGCTCACGGTTTGCTTGGCTGAGGCCCGGAGGCTTGTTCTGGGATGGAAGCTTGTGATTCGCTTCAGGTTGCTGCTCGCGCCTGTCTGCCGCTTATTACAGACGGACTTCAGCAATAAAAACGGCATGCTTGAGTTCATCTTTGTGAGGTCATTGGCAGCTGCTTATAAACGAGTCACCTTCAGCTCCAGAGCTCTGGTGTTCAATGTATGCAGGCAGGAGACCTGATAAGGACACCCTTGGGCCTGATTGGGACAATACTGGGAGTCAAGTGAGTGAATACCACAGTGCCTCTACATTGAATAGAGACAGCTCCCAAGAAACCTAGCAATATTGCAGCTTTGGGAGGAGATCCTGTTCCAATCCTGCTCATGCCGCAAGTCAAAGCGTGTGCTGTACAACCGAAATGGACTCAAGCCTGTCCCCAAGGCTTTTTTCATAAGCTTCAGGGCTAGCCCGCTTCACGGAACATCAAACTCAAACGACAACCAGCTATGACATCTTCTACATTTTCCTCTCTGCATAGGCAGCTTTTGACGAGAGGATTCAACTGTTGGAGACAAGGTAGTAACTTTTGACACGTATTATCGCAGGTTTGCACGTCCAGATGACAAAGAGACGGGGGTGATGTGGGTGGAATACGAGGGGGGAAAGCAAGTTCCTTTGGAACGAGGCGTCGTTGGGTGAGCTCATTCTACTTTTCATGTAGCGATAGGGGGCAGAGCCAGGCGACTAGCTTGAGCTGCAGCGCTTCATATCTCTGCTTTTATTACGGGCTTGGAAGCATTACGCTTCTTGCAACCGCACCGCCATGCTATCCGCTTCCACCTGGACAGTGAATTCGTCCCACTCGCAAGGAGGCCATTTTAAGGCAGCTCAGGCGATTCGAGAGGTCTCGCTCACTTGGGGCCGTATCTCCGCGTCAGGTTGACGAATCTTACGAGCTGCAACTGGAGCACACCTGCAGCAGAGGCCTCAACCTGAATCTGACACGAGTGTCCGCTTGCAGGTACGAGAGGCTGACAGAAGCAGAGCACATATGGAGAGACGTCGTGGTCATTCGAACGGTGAGGCCAAATAATTGGCCCTCAGACGGTGCTACTGTTGGTCTGACCAGAGGATCCTCCTCACATGGACGAAACCCGAAAATTGTTGGATCTCTGCCGAAATGAGTCGGCGTTCAGCAAGTGGACGCTTTTTCTGATAACTTGGTTTGCGGCTCAGACGATTTTCATGTTGCAACCTTTGATGTGAGCGCTTTATTAGCAGCCAGAGAGGATAAGGGCTCAAACGACGTAGCAAAATCTTCTGTGGGGTATGGACGCATTGAGCAGGCAGGAGCTTCCCGTAATCCTTTTCTAGCTTATTGCAGCTTTGCAGCATTCGACGTCCATCCGTTCTCCCCGACTGCATAGACAAACTTCACGTCGTGCTATCTTGCAGCGCGTCCAAAAGGAGGAAGAAGAGAGGGCGGCAATTGAGCAAGCCCAGCGGCTGCGTATGGAAGCCCTGGCTTTAGAGGCGGCGGCAAGCAAGAAGAAACGGAAGTCAACGGCTTCGAGACCGCAGACAGTGGGTTAGCTTAGCTTCATTGCGGTCATGTGGACTTGGGTCGCCTTTTTGAATGCTAAAGTCAGAGTCCTGTCAAAGGTTCAGGGATTGATTGAAGTTGTGATGATCTGTCAAAGGCTCCGAAGTTGATTTTTTAGAGGCACAAATACAAAAGTTTGCTTCAAATCAATCCAAAATCCTTAAGCTTAAGATGCTCCTAACGGCCTGGTAATTATCTGTGTTCGCATGATGCCATTGAAAAGTACAAACACCACCAAGCTGGGGCACAGCGGCTGCAAGGCACCTCATCATCAACCTCCACACTCTCCACGTGAAGAATATCGCAATACGATTGGTGATTATTTGTTCGATTGTTTGCATGTACTTGATAGTTTCTGCAATCGATCGACGCTTGCACATGGGCTGTGTGTCCCTCTTGGCTGCATGTCATGCCCGCCAAGATGAGAACGTTCAATGACATGCAGATTTCTCAAATCTAGCACTTACAAATCTGGAATATCAATACTGATCCATTGTCCGAGGTCGTGAGCATGCGACTTAACAGAATTTCACAATTCACAGTAAAAGCCACATTCATTTGACATATCATATAGTAATATCGTTGCAGCGCCAGCTTCGCAGCGCCTGTTATCCAAAATGCTAAGACCTATTATTTGCAGGTGATGCTTCGAGAGCCTGCAAGCAATTGGGACTGGATCTGGCACCTGATCATTCTGCAAAAGTCTTTACACAAGAGACAATAGCTGATGAAACATTTGGTTGCCTCAGGGTTCAGGGATAGCGAAGCCCAATCCAATTGAATTATGCGCTGGCAGCTGAGATCCGCATTCCGACCGTCGATGCATGGCCCCATTTACGGCTCTGACCTCTCTGATCGTCCGATCATGGTTCGTGCGACTCGCACATTAGGGTTTCAGACCCCGAACTTGGGAAACCCTATACAGCGCCTACATGTTGGACCTGTTCCCCCAACTTACCGTAGTGGCACGACCCTTTCATCTAACCCTTCCTCTAATAATTATTTTTTCACTTATTTTTTTTCACATCAGCCCAAAACTTGTTTCTAAAATTTCATCTTTTCGTGTTAACCCTGGTAAACAAGGTGGTTAACAACCTAACCGCGTTGCTAACCAGCTTTTTCATTTCATACAGGCCTTTTGAGAATTAATATTTTTTTTCATCCAAGGCTAAAATGAATTATTTTATGGATGAAAGGGTCGTGCCACTACGGTACAAATGTTCCAAGCTGCCGCCTCCAGAGAGGAAGGCGGTCATCTTCATTCAGGCAGCAGGTGGAAGGGGCCAGCAGAAGGAGGAGAATCTGATTAAGAGGACAATAGGGAAACCAATGTGGCAGATTGGTTTGATCACAGTTTTTAAGTGCATGCATTGATTCCTGTTTTGCATCTTGAGAGGGGCAGAAACTGAAGGGGACAAAAGTCATCAACCTACTAAGTGGTGAGAATTCTAACAATTTGTTTCATGACAATGCAGCGTAGCTACCTTAAGGATGCGCCGATCTCTGAGTCTTACAGAGTGTGTAATGGAGTCTTGCCATGCAATGTGGAAAATGCGGATTCCTCCTTCTTCTGCAAACACTTACAGAAGCTGTCAGACTGATAGATGATAGCCATTGTTTGATGCACGACTTGCTGCTTCAATTGAGTAACAATGTTCAGGCAGTACTCCACTGTCTGACCTTGCCCCTCGCCTTTGCAGGCCACAGAGTTGTTTGTAGCATTTGAGCCTGCCTGCTCTCTCTGTATTACCATCACTTCACCAAGCAGTTTCCTCCACAGAGTAGCTCAACAGTGTTGGATTGTTCCCGGATTTCCATCCAATTGTCAAAAAGGCCCAGGCGGGCTTCATTTCCCCCAATCTCTGGAGCCACATTCTTAGAAGATCTAGCAGTTATCATGCAAGTTGCTGTTGGCCCCCTTAGTGCTAGGTCGAATCTCGGGTCAGCAAGCAGTCTCGTCTGGCAACCCAGCCCTCCTACTCCGCATCCACCTGCATGCATCAGATGCACCCAGCCTCACTCTCTGCGCCCGTTTGATGGCCCCTCTTCTCATACTGCGCTCCCGACGCATTTAGCCAGAACGCGCATGCCAGGCCAAGTCCATCATCTCCCCCCTCCAAGTCCTCATTCTGGAAGCGCGTTGACTGCTTTCTCACCAGGAGCGAGCTGGCACTGTAGATCTGCAATGAGTGCATCCACATTAGGAGCAAGCCATCCTTCCAACAGGGCCATGAGGGCATTCACACCAGGGGCAGCGTCAGTAGACGTGGCCTCAGTAAGCAAGGAAGCGCTCGAGGCTGCCACGTCGTCTCCCACTCCGGACAGCTCGGACGAGCCATTCAAGTTACTGCAAACAGCGTCCGAACACCTGCCGCTGGCGTATCACCGCCTAGAGGGGGGGTCCCCAGGCCTCATGTTTCTCCCGGGGTTCATGTCAAACATGACCAGTGGGAAGGTGAGAATGGATGCGCGGGAAGTTGATGAGAATCCAGCATGCAGAGTACTTGCTGGGGACATGTTCTGAGTAGGGAGAGTTGGACAATGCTTTGCAGTCACATTGTATTTGATAAGTGTGTGTCTGGTCATGCGAAGTAGATCATAAGCGTTTGTTGAGGAGAAAGAATGCGTGACAAGGTACGTTCCATAGTTCTCTGATTCTGACCCCTCCAACAATAGGAGATTAAATAGATGGCCTGCTTCTTCTTTCATCTGCACTTCCGAGATACCTCTGGTTCTTCCTATCTGACATATCTGACAGCAAATATTGTCTGGCCACTAGAAGTTGAAGACTGTTTTTAGCAGATTGGCCTTTCGCGGATGTATTTAGCCGGTCTTTTGCAAAGTCTCACAAGCCAAAAAGTGCTTTTTGCCCCGTTCTGACTCGTCTCACACTCTAGGAACACACAACCTGGCAACTAACCTAAACCCAGGTCAGACCTCAGATTTTACGAAAGGCAATCAGTAATTGATCTGATTTTTGGACGTGTTTGAGCTTAGGACGTCTTTGGGCGTAGAACCATCAAGAGATTGGTCTTTGAAAAGTACTGGTGAATTGATGCACAGCCGAGCTGTGAGGTGGTGGCACAATAAAGTTTGATACCTCAATCGTTGTCTATTCGGGCAGCCGCCTGGGTATTGAAAGAAAAGGTTCTTGCCAACACAAGGCCTCCTGGCATGCAGACGAAGAATCGAACTAAAGCTGGAACCGCGCTTCATTCCTTTGTCGAATTCAGCTCTCGCTTTTGCACATTCTCCGACCTCGCATGGTCGCCTTCATATCTCCTGTTTCCATCTTTTTCGGGTGTTCCAACTTCCTAACTGATGGCGATTGTTCCTGACATAGAACCTCCTCTCTGCACTTCCGTCCCCCTTATTACTTCGACTTTTTGAGTGCCCCGTGTTTTCTTGAACGAACTTGTTTGTCCCGTGCTTTCCTGAACGATATCTCCAAGTTTCTTCTATCACCTGCTTTCCAGGCGATGGCCTTAGAGGCTTACGCACGTGACAACGGACGCGAGTACGTGCGCTTCGACTACCACGGCCACGGCAGTTCGGGGGGGCGATTTGAGGAGTGCACCCTGGGGGGGTGGATCGAAAACGCGCTCGATATCTTGGACAAGGTCACCAGCGGGGGACCGATGGTAAGGGCCTTCGATTTCCTGAAGCGCTGCGCGTGGAGAGGGGCGTTTCTGGTCGTCTTTTATGTTCGTCGTATTTGCGGAATCTTTTCGAAGTGAGGCTTTCCCGAGTAAAGTTGAACGTAACCTAACGAAGTGGGCTGATAGTTCAAAAGTTTCGGCAAAGCTCCAAGCCTCAGACAGTCCGGTTAATCCCTGGAGACCGGCGCCTTCTGTGAGACCTCGCTTCAAAATTGCTTCTTCCATCTTACGACCTCGAGACGTCGGCAAAAGTTGCAGTCAAGCGCTCGAAATTTCCTTGCAGATTTACTAAAGGACAAGCAAGTGGGGTCCACTTTCTTCTGGTTTTAGGTCAACATCGGACTCCAGATAGACGTGCATATTACACTTCATAGCATAGGTGCTGATGAAAAAGAGCTCAGTTTTGGACGAAGCGAATTGCGAGAATCCACGTGTCGAACTTACTGTTTCTTGTTTGAACGGCTTCTAGGCCCTACTTAATCAGGACCGATCGAAGACAATGAACCCAGCCTAGTTCCTCTTTTCCGAAGTAGGTGGTGACCTGATCAGGGTTCAGATTTGAAAGAAGCGGACTGCAAAGAAACCGTGTGTCGCTTTCACGACTTCCTCCCTGGTCCTAAGTATTCCGCCAGGACGGATCGAGGATAAGAACCCATGCTAGTTCTTCCTGTGTTATAGGTATTGGTTGGGTCCAGCATGGGCATGTGGATAGCGATCCACGTGGCACTACGCCGGCCCGACAGAGTGGCAGGCCTCGTCGGCATCGGGGCGGCGCCCGACTTTACGCAGCGCTTCTGGCTGACGCTGTCCGCGGAGGATCGGGAGAGCTTCGAGAAGGATAGGCTATTGCTCAAGCAGTCGCCGTATAGGTGAGGCTGGTTATCTTCGGAAAATGAACCTGAAGAATAAGCCGTTATCGACGCTGTCCGCGGAGGACCGGGAAAGCTTTGAAAAGGATAAGATATTGCTCAAGCAGTCGCCGTATAGGTAAGCGCGATCAGAAGAGGAACGGCATCGTGAGATTTTCAACATCGGGAGACAAGAGTGCCCTCGATATCGACGGGTTTCAAAAGCTTGCTGAGGTCCCCCCCCGTTGGCACTTTCTGTGGAGTGCACTAGATCATCTATGCAAGCGCTCACTCTAGTTTTAGATTTCGACGCCTGAAAAGCATCTCGGATGAATTCCTGAAAGGAGTGCTGTTGTTGGAGGAGGTGCGGGCGAGTTCGGAAAGAGCCAGCTAGCTTGAGCTATCTTTCAACTGAAAGCTGTTGTGGAATAGTTCGAATACTAAGAGCAGAAGATCAGCGAGTTGTATAAAGGTGCTTCAGTGCTGGAGTCCCTGACGTTTGCCTCAGCAACTCGTTGCCGTCCGAGACCGAAGATTTGTGCAGCTCTTCTGGTCAGGCAAATGCATCCCCTGCCATTGATTGACAAACACGCGCTTTGTTTTCGCGGGAAGGAAATTTACACGTCTGTACAGTTGGCTCATTCGGATTAGTACCTCGAAAACATTAGAGACAATCTGCGTGGTTTCGGTTGAAGACGGCGCTGAAGTCTGGTCGAAAACGAAGCAAGGACAAATTGTGCTCTCTTGGACGGCATCTGAGTGCTGACAGAATCTGGAAGTGCGCTCAGGGCGATGATAACCGCCCAGTACTTCTACAAACAAAACAATTGACGCATCCTGCCAGTAAGATTGTAACGTCCTTTTGCAGCGAAGAGCCGTACAAGATCTCCCTCGATCTCGTTACGGAGGCCCGCCAGCATTTACTGCTGAACAACGCAGAGAACACCGTCGCCGTCGATTGCCCCATCCGACTGTTGCACGGCTGCCAGGACGTCACAGCGCCGCCCCACCTGTCGTCGGACATTATGAACATGGTTACCAGCACCGACGTGGAGGTAACCCTGGTCAAGGACGGTGACCACCGGTTATCGACGCCAAGGGATTTGGACCGCATGGTGCGGACGGTGGAAGAGCTGTTGCGGACGCTTGAAGGACATCAGAAGGGCGAGTAGACACGGCGTCGATTAGTTGGTCGGGAGAGGCATTTCGAGCTTGAAGTCCTCTTCATTTGTAAAATGGAATTCTTAGAGAAGAAGCAGTATTCAGGAGACGAGAAGCTGAGATGCTTGCACATTAGCTGGGCCGCTCACCGGAAATAGTTGATTCAGGGATGGCGCATGTCCAAATCTGGTCTAAGCACTGAAGTTGAAGATGGGGGATTGTGTGACCAGCAAACGGGCTTCGCGGAATGTAATCTAAAGTTGGTTGGAACAGCCAAGGAACGTCCAAGGAGAAGAAGCGTTGGTTGATTAGTATTGTGACTGGCTGATTGTTGGGAGCACGCGCGCGCATTGATTGCCACAATAAGAGGTTTGAACATACATTTTTCAAGGTGTACTATATATTGCATGCAATTGATCTGGAGATTTGCCCAGTGAAAGGAAAGACAGAAAAGCAACAGTTGAATGTCTGCACTCGGCCTGATGCAACATCCGTGAAAATTCAGACACGCATTATTAAATTACAACCGCCTGCCCGTCGATCCGCGGTTTCGAAGATTCAATATGATGTGCATGCATGCATGGATAAAGTTGGAGGGCGGGCCCCTCGCGAGTTTCAGTCGGATCGACTCCACCACTTTGCAACCTTGTGGCTTATAGGCTGTAGGCCCTGTGGCTCACATGAACACGTGGTCTCATTCGATGATGTATCAGGAGCCGCACTAGTCATGATCGACTCGGATTATGCACCTTGCATTTGCAATTGCAAGTAGCTCGATCCGACATGCAAAAAATGTCGTCCTCACACCTGCCATATGCTAAGCCGTATAAATGCTGCATGCCTGAATGGTTCGAACAATGCATGGCGCATATACCAAGTGCCAGGCCCCCGGCAATGACAGGACTTGGGAGATATTCAAGATCGCATACAAGAGCTCTTTTGCAGCGTAGGCCCGTATTAACTCTTGCGAAGAAGCGCAGACACCTGAAAAGGTCGCAGAGCTGGACTGTGCAAAATGCACAAGTCGTCAGTTCATAAACTCTCGCTTACCACGCCACTGTATCCAGCTCCATTGGACCGTAAATGTCAGCGAGATGCGGTCCAGATTCGACTTTGACTCTGTCCTACATCGCGGCCTCATTATTTGTTCAACTTGTGCTCGCTGATGCACAATCATCCGAACAGTCGGCCTAACGCTCAATACGTGCTGCGTCTCCTTCGGCTAGGATGGCTCCTTAGGGTTTCTCCAGCTCGGGAAGATCTGCAGAGGAACACACCAGTTGGTAAGAGCACCGTCAAATGTGCAGAAAAAGGAAGTACTTCCTTATCAGACTTTCAGAAAGACAAGTACGAGACTGCCCCGGAGATGCAGAACGCACCAGAAGTCGGGACTCGTCAGAAACTGAAAGGACTCCGCGCAACCAGCTACCAAAAAGGGTGATCCAAAACCTAAGAAGGCCAGCTTCTTCATTCCTGAAATCTTAATAATCCAAGGATTCTGTGCCGCTACCTTCGTCGTCCTCTTCGTCCGAGTCCGGAGAGGCGTCCGTAGCGACTTTCGAATGCTTCAAAGAGTCGAGCAGCTTTGCATTCTTGGCTGCAAAGAACAGGCCGTGAATTGGGACGGGAACGGCAACAGAAAGGAACACATCAGGCGGAAAGGCTTGCGAAACAACCCCGAAAACGGAGAGCATCTGATAGCACAAGAAAAGAGTAGGTCTTTGTTTCTGTCAATCTGACGACCATAATCCACCAGCGCTAATCCACGCGTTTCTTCTAGCGATGAGAGGGGATCACACATGGATAAAAGAAAGCAATCCAGAAAGCGACTGAGACGCGTTGAAAGGAACACTGACTGCGTCCAAAGCTCGCCCAAAGCGACCACCCACAGCTAGCCCCTACGTAATGGAGCCAACAATCCTGAGAATCTCAATTCGATTTAGTAAGATGGCTCAGAGGAAGCCTTTTTGTGGCCGCTAATTTTTTGGGAATCCGCATAAGCAGTCACGAACCTAAAGCTGATGTATGCTAAGAAAGGCTGGTGCTCAAACGCCGACAACATCACGGGCGTTTGAGCCACTCGACAGAACCGCTGGCCACAATCGGATGACTCTGCTGGTCTACATAGGTGTCAGTACTGAAAGTGCTGAAAGTTACCGTGCTGCTATCCAAGTGAATCCAAACTCAAGCTCGCCTTTCTAGCGACGTATAACATACGACAAGGGAAGTGGAAGCCGAAGGTCAGGGAGACGACGATGGAAGGAGTGGACTCGGATTGCGGTCCAAACACAGAATGTTAAGAATGCAATTTAAGTCGCAAATTGAGAGCGGAACTGAAGCGAGCAGAAACGGAACGTACCATCGTCGTCATCGCTGTCGACCTCCTCCGCGCCTTCGGCCTGTACGAGGAACAAAGAGCAGACCATGAGGATGTTGCGCTCCGACTGACGCCTTGCATACGTCTTTCACGATTGTGTGACGTCAGCGGTTCTGTGCACAGCGCTCGAACCTCAACGCTGACACAGAGAACTTGGGGACTCGCTGAGAGACAGCGGCAGCTGATCAGCAGAGGGTTACGCTTGGAGCATTGTTTGTTTGTGTGTTTCTTTATGGGTCTGCGGCGAGAGGGGCCGTTTTCGAAAGTGCGAGCTCGCACCCGTTCCAAGGAAGACGAAAAGCAAACCACGTGCCTGGTTTCCTATGCAGCCGTTCAATTGTTCACGTTCCAACGCGCTCTCCGCATCTTTCAAAGAAGCGACTTGGACCATTCCTGCGCTCTCCCTTGTGTCTGCTACTGAAGCTTATGTGTAATAACACACTAATTTCAAGAAACTATGACCCAGCCGGCAACTTGACTTCAACCACCTCCGCAATTAAAAGTTCAACCGTAACAAAAAGCCGCCCATCAACCGCCACTGGACGCCTGCAAATCAGCCCTTTCAAGACAACCGGACGTCCGAACCAGAGGGGGATCCCCACTCACATCTCCCATTCCGCCCATGCCGCCACCGGCGCCTCCCTGCAGCCCAGCCAGCATCTCCTGCAATTTTTGTTGGTCCATGCCACCCATACCCCCCTGAACGAAGACGGCACGGGTTTGCAAAACTCAAGCGATCGCCCTCAAGTTATACCGTGACTTATTTGAGCGCAGTTTTGTTGGTTCATACCTCCCATGCCCCCGTAGAGGAAGACAGCGAAGGTTTGCAAGACTCAAACGCATCGCCCCTGTTATTGTACCTAAAGTCTCTGTTGATTCAAGCCTTTTATAGCCCCCTCAATATTTTCGGCAAGGACAAATGCAGGAGACTTGAAACACAGGAGACTTGAAACACAATGATCAGGATAACCAGACGCCTTCAAAAGCTTTCCGGCCTACCAGTTTAAAAGCCATTTGGAAGCCCATGTATCGCCTTCTTACACAACTTCCGAACTTACGTGCACCCTCATTATGGAAAGCGTTCGCTACCACCCTTTGAACCAAGGACTTCCCTCGTTGTGCCTTAGAATTTAAGGTAGCCCTTTTTTTTGAATTTTGGTGGCCTGCCGGTTACCTAGTCGTGCTGCTCGAGTCAGTAGCGTCAGCACGTCGAGTCCGTGATACCAACGGCTGACCTGTTATGGTGCTTGTACCAAAGCAATGGGTTGAAAAAGTCCATCCAACTTGATGCTCTTAAGAAAAGCTTACCGCATCCCGTACCTTGACAGTTCCTGGCAAAAGCCGAGACTTTTCTGTCCAAGATTTGACAAGCAACGGAAAAACAGTGGATGGCTGCCAAAAGCTTGTTCTTGGACTTTGGCAGGTCCGAAACAATAACCCGGCGAAAAAACGAGTGACATGAGCACGGTCACTCACTGGACCTCCCATTCCGCCCATTCCGCCCATTCCGCCCATTCCGCCCATGCCGCCCATTCCGCCCATCATACCGCCCAACTGTACGGTACAGACGTTGGCATAAGGCTTCGGTATTCTGACAACAAGTTGGCCAAGAGCTATCCTGATGTGAACACCTGGCTAAGTCCGAACTCAGTTCCACATTGAACGACAGAGGCTCGCCAATGATGCTGAATAGTAACTTCGACAAAAGGGCAAAAGTAGCTGCAGTGCAGTGTGGCTCTCTTTAGCAAGCGCTACATGCTGTAACTGCCGCTACATTAGTGGTCCAGAGGGAAAATCGGAAAGCTGTATGACAAGGTGCTACTTGTCAGGGCGGAAACGGGAGGGTCAACAAGAGGGATTAGTTCCGCTACCTCCAAGATGAATGTCGCAGACAGATGCATTTTGCCATGAACAACAAAAGCCGTCGGCTTACGTGAATTCAGTCCGTGACTATAAGCTAAGCTGTTCTTACTCCGACCAGTTGAGAAAGACGAAGAGGAAAGGTTCTCCGATAACACCTCTTTGTCAAGCAAGGCTATCAGCTCGACAAATTTGGACATGTAGAAGGTTTTGTAACTTACGTCTCCCATTCCGCCCATGCCGCCCATTCCGCCCATTCCGCCCATGCCGCCTCCGAATTGCTGGAAAGAAACGAACAAAGAATTTAATTGCAATTCTACGACATCAAGGCCCTCGGCGATCCCTCAGCAATTGAAGCAAGGACAGGTCAGTCCGTATTCAAAGCGCTCGTTTGCTTTCTCATTACGGGCATGTCCAGATACTATTAATTCCATCCGAAGAACCCAAGTGTCATTCACAGCAATTGGATGGTCGCTAAACAGGAAGCAAGATAGGCTTCCTCTTCGTTCCTAGCACACTCTTTGACGAAAATGACACACTTGATGAAGCTGGGGCCTTACCGAAAAGTCCTGGAGGTTACTTGTATCGAATTCGCCTGCAGGGCAAAAGAACTGGAGATGAGGGCTCGATCACTGTTGATCTTCAACGTTGGAAGTACGTATGCGGCCATTCCACAACTAAGTGTGATTGGCGCCTCTCCAATGCGGTTCAATTTTCGGACCCTTGTTAGACAACATCTCATGCAATTCCGATCGCCATCGACAAAACCCCTACTCCTTCCGCACCGTGCCAGTATTTCTTACTTTTTGGAGGTGCACAATATCGATGTCCTCGAAAAGCAGGAAAAAAGAGAACGACGGACTTGAGGATGGCCAAATGAAGCCCCTCGTTCAGTAGAGCACACCAGAAGCAGACTTCTGGACATATGATGCCCTCCGTTTCGGATGTTGTGAATGATGACAGGTCAAACCTCCGAGACAAGGTCAAAATAAATTGAGCGCAAGAATGATGCCACGAAGGACGTCATCAAAGCCTTACAGAATCATCCAAAGGTGCCTCAACTAGAGTGAGAAACAACTAGTGGATGAAGGACCCGCATCGGACAAGCTGTCCGAAACTTCCATTATCACAAGAAGTCGAAGGGCCTCGACAATCGTCAGACTGCAATAAGCGTGTCTCCAACAGATTCCAACGAAAGGGCCGATGCCTAATTTGTGACTCCCTAGCAATCTCTTCGCACTTGCTACTAATGCACTCCTTGCAGGCCTGCTTTGAATACAGAGAAGCACGTAAGCCACTGACCTGAGCAAGTACAAAGACCACAAAATTCTTACGGAATAGGAAAAGGCTCCTTCAGCAACTGTTCCAAAGCACCCTCAACAGAAGACGTAATCCACAGGGATACTGAACAAACAAGCTTTTCCAAGAACGATACAGGTGGGAATCAAATCCATTGTGAGGAGCCTCACCCTTCTCCTCGTCCTCATCCACCCACTTGCTCCAGTCCACCTTGATGTACTGTGGCGTCTTGCCCTTGGCTTTTAGGAGACGGTCCCAGTAACCCTTCTCCTTCTTTTCTAGCACTGTCAGTATGTGCCGGTTTGTGATCTGAATCTTGCTCTTCTGCAGTACAAGGATGAGCAGAATCACTCAGCCACTTGCTTTTGAGGTGTAAGACCTTGCAGTTTTTGGACGGTTCCATGTCGTGGCAAGTCCCTTTGAGATACCATAATATTGGCTCCAACTCGCAAAGCACCTGATTGCAGATGTAGATGAAACAGCCAACAATTCTTGACCACTCACGCTGACCTTTGCAGACAAGGGCGGCAACTTCTATAATACAGCTTAAGTATAGATGTCCTAGATTTGTCAAGGATGATCTGCCTGGATGTCTAATCCATAGAGATGCTGCCAGACAAACAATGACTTAATCACAACCGGCAGGCTTCGGATGGCCTGATCACTGAAGCACCAACCTCTACTAATGCAATTCTGCCCCCAGCTCCAGAGAACCTGCCTCTGAAACAGATAAGCAACCTTGTCGCAACCTGAATCACTAAAGCCGGCAACTCTCCGGACCCCCACCTCATTGTCGATCTCGCCCCCCAGCTCCAAATCGAGCTCGTACGGCGTCTTGTCAGGGCCAGCCTTTGCCGAGAAGGTGAGCTTGCCGGAGGGGTCTACATGGATCTTGGGGTCAATGGGGTCGGGGAGGGCGATCGTGATGAGGACCTTGTCGCTGCGCTGCGCCCAAAGGACCTCCGGATGGCGGCTGCAAAATGATGGATTGCACTGAGAGAGCTATTGAACATGGACCTTACTACCTTGCCAAAATGCATGTTTTTGTTGCAGCGTTGGCAACTAGACTAGGTTGCTCAGCCGAGTACACCACCCGAAAGATCTTTACAAACACGCATTCTGTGCCTGAGGGCCATGGTACGGTGCGATGTAGCGCTTGAGGTGTTGATGACGACGGACGGATAGTTCTACTTTAGCAGAGCGATACACAAACGGCCTTGCAACCTGTGCTTCTATGAAAAGCCAGAGAGGAGGGGACTTCGAAGCTGCTGAAAGTCATATGAATTGCCAAGAGAAGCTGTTACGGCCGACAACCATCAGGGTAAGCGGTAGGGACAAGATGGGGTGCGAGCAACAAGGAACTCAATCGTCAGAAAGGCAGAGACTTGAGCGGCACTGTCAGCGGAGAGAGGCACGACTGGCAACATGTCCTAGACACGTCAAGCAAAGCTGGATGCTGGAAAGCTCTCATTACAAGCCGTGTGGTGGCACTCTAAGTTCCAAATACGACTGCAAGGTTTTCTCAGATGCTTTAACGGACAAATGCTTACATTAAAGTAAGAATCAGAAACTATGAAGGTCACGATGACCCAAACAGATGACAACCTCGAGGGTCAGAGCCATATTGATCTGGCTGTACTGAGGCCGCTCAAACGACCAAGTAGGTAGATCGAAATAAGTTTACACAATCTGGTCGACTGTCCCAGGCTGGACACCAAGGAGGAACAATGCTGCAAGACGCATGGCTAGCAGAAGCTCTTATGTGCATCAACCATCAGGATCAAGACCAATCCAACTTTAGGTGCATCGGCAGCAATTGCTGCACTGCCGTTGTTCTGAACAGTTCCCGATCTAGAAAAATAACAGACAGCAGAAGCACAGTGCTCTGAAAGTCCTTCCATTTGACCAAATGCCACTGTCCCGCACAACACCATCGAGCTGCCGTGAAGAGCTTTCATTGACAGCAAAAGCCTCACATAGCAGATTGATTGAAAATGACCATCCTTAGAAGGACAATATAATTGGAGGTCTGTGATACGTAAGATATTTGTGGTCCACCCTGTGGTCCATCTTGGGTGATCCTCCGGTCCTAAAGAGGACACTATTTCTGCCGACCAGCTAGTGCCATCACAACGAGACATGCAGGGCTCGAAGTTCCATTCAGCAAAAAAGATATGCCAAATTGCTTGGGACGGAATTTCCATCACCTAATGCTGATTCCAAACAAGCGCATATCCTGTTTCTAAACCTCGTGACACGATACAAGCCTCATCCTAGAGAGGAGAGCAAGGAACCTACCTCATGATTGCTCGATGCAAGTACCACCCAAGGAACGAAGTGCGGACCTTGCTTATGTGGGAAAGAGAGAATGATCTCCTGAGACGCCACTAATTCAATCCCTTCACTCACTGCATTTCTGAATGTAGGAAGACGATCTTGTCGCCGGCGCAAAGTGAAACCTAATCAGTCACTTGCGGCTGCGGCTTTCGGGAAAATTCCAAAGCACTGGTTGTCAGGGCTGCGAAGTGCTCGAAACCGGTGCTTTGTCAACCCAAATTTTGGGTTCGGTAATGGTGAGAGCTGGGAAGGCGACCGTGGAATATCGGCGAGTTTCGCACCAGGAAAAGACCCGGAGTCGGAGTCAAGGAAAGGAAACACAGGCTGAACACAGGGAGGAAAAGGAGGAGCTACAGTAGGGAGGAAAGAGAGCAAAGAGGTAGCTCTTTTGACGCCTTGTCTGAGAATTGGCCACCAGACTTTGCCAGGAATTCTTGGGCTACCATTGGCTGGTGGCAAGCGCCAGCATCGGCGGCCGCCCCACCGCTTTGTTCTTGGTCGTAAGAGGTTCCTATAGCGCAGCTCTTCTGCATAGAAGCAAGCGTGGAGGGCATAGATTGTAGGCCGGCACGACTGGAAGGTCTAGAATACAAGTGAAAACCCAAAGCTTGCTGGATTTGAGAACCCTCTTCAAAGATGGTGAGTAGTTGAATGTCTTGGAATCTCGAAGTGAAAGAATTACGGAACGAGCGTCCGGATATCATGATGATGTAGGAGTCTCTCTGGTAGCCAGCTCACTCACAATTGCATACAATCTGGGCTGTGTTTACCACCTGGGACCTCATTTTTGTGATGCTTCACTTGCCACTTTAAGGTTACAGAAGCTGTTAATTCAAGAACGGCACCGCCTGGAAGAATGAGACACGTTGCTCCTTAGATTGCCCGTGTATTCAATATGTTTCACTTTTTGCTAAAACAGTGGATGCAAATGTGACGAGTCCAGACTTTCATGCTTTGGGACTGGAGCGCCCATTTTGATAGACAGTGTGACGTCTATCTGCTCAAGGCTTTTCAAACTGTACTGCTGCTCCTCGGATCAGTCAGTCTCTGAAGCACATGTGTCGAAAGCAGAGTTCCACATGATGATTCGTCTTTGATGCGTGGTGGTACAGCGAAGGCAGGCGGTGGTACAGCGAAGGCAGGCGTTGGTAGTTGTTTGGAATGCTGCTGACAGTTTTCGGGTTGCCTGCAGAGCGTCCCCGTCAACCCGAAGCCGTTTCTGAATGAGCACACCGGGAAGCCAGTGATCGTCAAACTGAAGTGGGGAATGGAGTACAAAGGTTCGGCTCAGTTCTTGACTTTTTCTGCTGGTGTATGTAGTTTCTTTGCTGACACGCTTGTACTTACACCGGGCGTCGAGATCCGATAGGCCTTTGTTGCAGTTGCGGACGATGTCAATGATCAGCTAAACGAGTTGAAGGGGGATACGTCTAAAGTATGAGAAAGGGATCTTAGGAAACATGCGCGTACCAGGCCCCATGAGAAAGCGGGCTCGAGTTACAAAGACAGAGCCGCTGTTGCTGATACCAAATGCGGGTGCACTTCCATTGGTCTTGAGGCTTGTCGATGTAACGAGAGATGTGCTCTATTGGAAAGATCATTGACAATTCCTGCTGTTAGTGCAGGACACCCATTTACTTTCTTCGCACCTCTGGACATACCCTAACATGATTTCGCCGCTTTCTCTTGCAGGGTTCCTTGTGTCGGTAGACTCTTACATGAATCTGCAGGTAAGTCCGTCGTGTTTCTTTTTCATCGTTAATGCTTATCAGTGAATGGCGACCCTGACTATTCACCATCTTTGGCGCTCTTTCCAACTGGGTCAACAGTCTGTATTGTGGAATTTGTCATCAACTTGGACACCGGACAACCTTCAAAGACAAAGACCTATGTCCACGTTGTGCCTTGCTGGTTTTCGTTGCTGTCATTCCCTTTTGCGGGTGGTGCCCTTCTGCGAATCTCCGAGTACTCTTTTTCCATGCGAAACGCTTGCTTTACGTCTTGGGCAAAGCTTCCAGAATCCAGCTCACTATCATCCTCTTTTCGTGGATGTCTAGGCTGAGGTTGTTTCATACTCAAACTGAAGCGTCTGTTTCATGTTGCGCAGCTAGCAAACACCGAGGAGTTCATCGATGGGCAATTTACCGGCCAACTTGGGGAGGTCCTTATCAGGTGCGGCTATCACCAGCATGTTCTTTTCTCTTGCAGTCCGAGTTTGAGGCTTCTTTCTGCGATCCATGGGCTGGCTAAAAAAAGCTGGGCTTGTTTCATGGTTCTGGTAAAGCATCGTTGTCGAGCATTGGCAGACGACATGGCGACTTTGTTCGGATTCGTTATTGCAGGAAGGTATTACTTCGCCCAGGGTGTTAGCAGGGCCAAACATATCACTAATGGTGTTTCTCTGATTGAGACTCGATGAGAAAAGGAAAAGAAAACTTCTTTTTTTGATTGTCCAAACAGTAGTCTGCCGCCGTCTTTCGACAACGAACTGCTTGTGCTTCAGCAGTATTTCAATCCTCGTGACGCTCCAATTGATTTTTTTGCAATTCATTTGCGGATTGCCACATGAGGCACCTGCAATGCAGGTCGGCAGCACTTCACGAGACTTGAGGAGCCGGAGGCCGCTTCAGGTCTTGGGGAGGTCCCGAACTCAAGCAACTAGAGTGTGACTCTTGCCTTGCAGGTGTAATAACGTATTGTACCTTCGGGGCGTTCCAGAAGATGAAGAGATGGATGAAGATAAGGAGCAAGGGGAAGCGACATAGCGAAACCGTCTAGTTGCTTAAATCGTAGCTCTCTCTTTCCCAAGATTAATCCAGTAAGGGGAGGCGACATATTGCAACCGTCCAGCTGCGCAAAGTCGTTCCCTTTGCTTTCGTATGGTCGAGGCGAGCTGCCAAGCTCGAACAAGATTTCCAAAAGCCCGAAGCTATCTTTGCAAATGTTTGAAGGTTGCAAGGCGCCTAATGCTATAGTCCCCATTTCAACGGGATGTTGGTACCGGGCGAGAAAGTATAGCAGCGCGCCTAGTATTAGGAATTGCGGGTACGCGGTGCTTTCGTTGACAGCTGCGAGTTGATCAGTTGACATATTGTATGATCGTCGTTACTGCCCAATCCATTCAATGCGCCCTTACAATCCTATAGCCTGATCGAGGTCAATACAAGGCCAGACTGCAGCAATCTGGCGAAGAATATGGGGAGAATATCAGGTCGAAGTGGGGTGCACGGGTTCTTTAGGGCCCGTTAGCTTTCAATGGTCGGGTCTTTTCAAATAAAGAACGATAGGAACTTTCCACGTGGTCGATGTGATGTATGCCGATTCATTTATTGCAAGCTTTCCGTGCCAAGACCCTTCGTTTTCATTACTAGCCTGCTACGGCTGGCTCAAAGTAGCTTATATCGGCAACATGCAAGCACTGGAGCCATTCTTACAGACAAAGCGTCGTAATATAACGTACGGCGACATCATGATACCGACATTGAGCACTTACCGAAAGCAATATATTGCAGCTTGCCAATCCAAGACTGATTTACGGGTTGTTATTACCTATGTTATATAGGTACTTTCAGCGTGCTGCTATCCTGCTTCGAGCAGATGTCATGGCCCAGGATGGCCGCCCCATAATTGGCGCTGCGCGCCGCGGCCGCGGCTCCCCTGGAAGTGACCGTGACCGGACCGGACGATCACCCATGCGCTGGGGGGCGGCGCGAGTCTCAAATCCCACCCAACTCTCTCGGCCGTCCGATGGACAGGGTTTAGCCGAGCGCCGTCGATCTGAGTTTCGGCTGAAATGTGCAGAAAGTGCCCGGTACGTCCGTGCA